CCCCCCCCTGCCGCTCCCTTTCGCTCATTGATACAATTATGGGGCAAAACAGGTTTGTTTATCGTTTTCCGACTTGCTCATTCAGAAAATAAATAACAAATGGGGCGAAATGGGTCTGTGAGCTATTTCCCGCTTGACTCCTCCCCCCCTCCCCCCGCCCCCCACAATAATGTATTGCGAAATTCGCCAAATGGGGCAAAATGGGTTGGTGCTAATATTCCAAATCAACCCCCCTGCCCCCCCAAACCTATCTAATATTCATAAGTGAAATAGAATAAAAAATATGTCTGCGACTGCTGACAGTTTCCCGCCGACTCGATAATTTAACACTGGCGCCATCTCGCGGCATTCTCCCATCTGAACTTCTTTACCACACAGCACACCATCAATAATTTCTCCTAATTATACAAAATAACCTATTAATGGGTATTAATTGGGACCAATTGTTTGTCTATCAGCATTTAAATAATTTTTTGATTATATTCCAATCATTTTTGGCCCATTTTTCGCCTTAAAATGACATCCATGCACATCCATGCTACATCCATGCTACAACATGGATGTACCATGGAACCTCAATCGCCAGGGATTGGAAGAGTGTTGAAAAGCAGCTAAAATGTAGATCGACTCTGGGTTGCGATCTTTCACTTCACAGATCACGATATGATCGGCTTCGAAAACCCTTTCCCCTTCGATGAAGGGTCGCTGTGTGTCTCTTAACAACTTCACAATATGTGTGAGAGTTACCTTAAATTTCGACCGATCAAAATCCATTCTGCTCCAAAATCATTAAGCTGAAACCGTTCTGCTCCAAAATGACGTTCGAAAACATGCCTTGATGTGCACCAGAATACCCAGCGATCTCATTGGTTGCCCCCCATAAGCAGTTCACACACGGGCCACCGGAGCGCGCTGCCATCTACATTGCGATCGCGATATTCAAAAACGTAAACAAGAACATGCTCAAACATGTCTCAAGAATCGAAGAACTTTGGACGAGTGAAAATTCTTCTCGAAAAGTGGAAACTAGTGCATATCCTACATTTATTTGTGAGTAAGTGATATTTTCTGTTCAAATATTCCGTTTTCACGATGTGTCGAAGTGATTGAATATCGAGGAAAATTACTGAGAAGAATTTTTGGATTTTCTAACCTCCATCCAATAATTTTTCAGCTCATAAAATTAACGATGATGTTTTATCGACTTTGACATCCGAACAAACCGATGAATTTCTCACACAAACTGAGTTATGTTTGGGCGAGAACTTTCATTTTAAAAATACTGAAGGGTTATTTAGGATTGAAATAACGATTAAACACAGTTTTATTATCGTAAAAGTAATTAAGCTTTATTCAGCAACGTAACCCGACAACGGTCGAGGCACAAGTGGTGCATAGTACGAGTATATCTTTTAGAGAGGCGCAACGGCGCCGTGGCGACGCAGTCTGCCACACTGTCGGTAAAGAGGGAGACTGGCGTAGGGCGCTATATTTCAATACTCCCTCCCGCCATAGGCAGTATTCTCTTTTCCTCTCCAGTCTTCTTCTCTCTTAGTATTCTATTCTCGTTAATCACAAAATTTCTTATTCTTATTTTTGGTAACTTTATCTCGCCTCAGGATTCTTGTCAGGTAATTTCAGTTGGTTTTAACTCCTCAGTTTCCATCTCGCCTAATCAGTTACTTCCTAGATAAACAGAAAGAAATAATTTAGATATTTACGTTCATTATTAGATCCATCAAACGCTTGTGTGTTTCAAACGTCAATGGTTTGGTGAAAACATCAGCTAGCTGATCCCTTGAGCCAATCCAAATGATTTTTATATAATTCTTTTTAACACATTCCTTTATATAATGTAATTTGTTCTCCACAATGTGTCTCAATTTCATTCTTCCATTTGTTTCTGCACTAACAATTGTGGCTTTATTGTCACACCTTAAGATCATTGGAACGGGGGGATCAACCAGTATCAGTTTCAAAGAGTTGTGCAACGACATCATTTCTCGACTCGCCTCGCTCATTGCAACATACTCAGCTTCACACGTAGAAAGTGCTACTGTAGTTTGTTTGTGAGTTCGCCAAGTGATCGAATCACCGAACAGTCTAATCACAAAACCACAAGTTGTGATTGAATCTTTACAATCAGAAAAACTCGCATCAGAATAACCCTGAATGTCATTGGTCTCGCCTGAATATGTCAGACCCAAGCCCGTAGTACCACCCAAATACCGGAAAATTCTTTTTACCATTTCCCAGTCACTTTCTTTAGGGTTTACCTGATGTCTGCTTATCACATTGACCGTATATGCAATATCTGGTCTCGTAGCACCAGCCAAATACAAAAGACTACCTACAGCCTCTCTATAAGGAATGTACGTTGTGGATATGCTTTATCAAAGCCAAACCTACTTAATATCTTTTGAATATAGTTTTCCTGATTTAATTTGATAATCTGATTTTCTCTGTCCCGCCTAATAGTCATGCTCAAGAATTCCTTGGGTTCTCCCAGGACTGTCATTTCAAATTCGCTACATAAGTTACTCTTTACTTCATCCAATTTATCGTTATCATTACTCGCCAATAACATATCATCTACATAAAGTAGCAGAAGCAAGAACTTGTCTTCATCGCGCCAAGTGAATAAGCAAGGTTCTAAATCCGAGTTCTGCAAACCCATACTCAAAGCTACTTCGGTGAATTTTACATTCCACCGTTTGGGACTGATACGAAGACCATAAAGTGCTTTTTCCAATTTGCACACATTTTCTTGCCTATCTCTGTCGGTATGATTAGTTCCTTCTGGAATTTCCATATAAATTTCCTCATCTATTACCCCATTGAGGAAAGCAGTTTTAACATCTAACTGACACACCTCTAGATTATATTTGTTTATAATCGATATAACTATTCTCACTAGAGGTAAACGAGCTACTGGAGCATAAGTTTCCCTTAATTCATAAATGTTCTTATCCTTGAAACCTCTGATTACTAGTCTCGCTTTGAATCTTATTTTTCCATTTGCCTCATTTTTACACTTAAAAACCCATTTTGAATCAATGACATTTAATCTTTTTCCATTCATCATACTTAGAGGTCTTTTGACAATTTTCCATACTTGATTTCTTTCTAACGAGTTTAATTCTTCATCAACCGCATTTAACCAAGAATCTTTATTTTTACTGTTTATAGCTTCTCGATAATTTGAGGGATCTTCATTTATGTTTGCTAAAAGTGCATGATACACTTCATCTTCCTTTTGTGCTAAATCTATCTCGCCTACATTACTGATAACACTAGTGAAGAAAACATTTCCTTTCATGTTCTCATCAATTTCCAACTCTGAAAAGCTATTATCATTTATTATTTTATCTTTTATGTCAACTGTTTTCACTTTCTTGATAGTGTTTTGTTCTGAAACTTCTTTCTTTGGTCTACCTCTTTTGCGTTTCATCTCTCCCTCCGGTTTTGAAGAATCCTCGGTCTCTCCTCGATTCTTTTCGAACTTAACAAACCATTCATCTTTATTCTCCATTTCTTCATAGTCTGGGAAATCTTTGATACCGTTTCCCTTGTATTTATCCCCATATACTAATTTTTCATTGAATTTAACATGTCTGCTTTCATAATACTTCCCTAGCTCTGGCTTTAAGAGTTGATACCCTGTTGGAGTATATCCAACCAAGACCATACCTACACCTCGAGGTCCAAACTTTGGACCAGTGTTTCTAGCAATTTTTACGTAACTTAAGCTACCGAATCTTTTGATTTGATTAATGTCAAAGCTGTGATTAGGCGCGAATCTTTCTAAAGGAGTTATCATATTGTTTGATTTATGTGGAGTCCTATTGTAAGCATAAACTGCAGCTGATAAGCCCAGATCCCACATGCCCTTTGGCAGTCTTGAGTCAAACATATAGCACCTAACCTTTTTCTGGATAGTTTGATTAAACCTCTCAGCGACACCGTTGTGTTCTGGAGTATCAGGGGAGGCTAACTGTAATTCCGCCCCTAGACCCTTAAGAACTTCAATTGTATACCCGCCTGTATACTCTGTTCCCTGATCTGATCTAAGATAGCATACTTTCGCGTCATAACCCAGTAGATTACGCGCGCTTCTAATGAACATCTCAAGACAATGTCCTGTTTCACTTTTCGCCTTCATTGGATAAGCCATAGCGAATCTTGAGAAGTCATCGATGAACACAGAAATAAATCTGTATCCCTTAGGATGAGAAATTGGAGTAATAGGTCCCATCACATCTGAGTGAATTATTTGCAATGGTGCTGTTGCTCGCCTGCGCACCGACGTGAATGATAATTTATTGAATTTAGACGTTAAGCAGACCTCACAATCTCTAATGAATTCATCATCAAATTTTACTGCATTTAATTCTTTGTTATCTGGGAATTTCTTTTGTAGTGCCTTGAGGTAACTCGTTGAGGCATGTCCAAATCTACAATGCCACAACATGACATCATGATTCCTCATATAGCTATTTTTATCAATTGAAAGTTTTGGGAAATCTTCTAACGAGTCATCCCATGGTAATTCATCAACATCTTGCAATTTTCTGTCCCAAATGGTGTAATCAAAATTTGATTGTTCATAGGGAATCTTTTCTTTATTAATAATTTTCTCTTTTATTAAATTTTCACTCCCTTTTTCATTATTCTTTTCATCCATTTTATTTTCTTCCTCATTACTCTTATCAATTTCGTTTGTTTTCTCACTTGTTTCGTTCTGTAAGTTTGCTGTGACACTTCTGGTGAGATATCTTTTCACCTCATTTTCACCCCCAGTGACATCAGCTACATTTGCTACTACTCGCCTGTTTATTTGCTTGAAAGAATTCTCACTGATAGAGTTTGACTTTACTATTTCTAAATCGATTATCCAGTAAGGTTTTCTGTAAATCCCCGAGATGAAAAGTTCATTCGACACTGGATCAAATATATCAATTTTCTTGTCATCTAAGTAGATTGCTAATCCCATTTCGGCAAATTTTCTTAATGATAGCAGATTTGCTTTAAGAGCTTCTGCAAAAATAACTTTGTCAATTTCTAATAATTTACCACTCGCCAGTTCAATTTCTATTTTTCCTGCTCCCTCCGTTTTCAAGTCCGCTGACTCATTTTTATTCGCACATCTAATTACTCCACAATCTAATTCGTTAAAAGTTTTAAATATAATTCTGGAATTTGTTAAATGCTCGGTCGCGCCTGAGTCTGCTAGAAAGTCTGTCAAAAACTTATTTCCATTTGTTTGTTTACTATCTGCATAAAATATTTCAGTAGTTGATTGATCATAATTTTCTTTTTCCTTACCTTGATTGGAGTTATTTTTCTCTGTAGTTTTGTCGGGATTAGATTTCTTGATTGATTTGTGAGATGACTTAAACCCATGTTTGTTCTCACTTCTCTTATAGGAGAACCTACTCTTATTAAATCTTCCTCTTTTAATTGGACCATATGTTTCACCTCTCATTGGTCTTTTCATTCCTCTACCATTACCTCTATATTGATCTTGATAATTGTTTCGATAGTTAAATTTAAAATTGGAATTGTACCTTGGAGTCTGTTTAGAGTATCCCGGACCACTTGGTGCATTGTCATTGTTAGTTATGTTTGGGCAATCTCTCGCCTTGTGATTCCCAAATTGATTGCACTTGTAGCACAAGTATCCTTTCCCTTTATTGGGACAGTCTGGTCCTTTGTGCCCATACGCCTGACAGGCAAAACACCTCGGCCCCTTGTGCTGTGCAAAATTAGCAGTTTTAAGATCTGAATCTAAGAGCTCACTTTTCGTCGTAGCTTCTTCTTCTAACATCGCAATTTTCAACTCGCCAAACGTCAAGCCCACTCCTATAGCTTTCTTTGTTACTTTTTCAATGATTTTAATATTCGGAAAAGCTTTTATTACTGCATTGTAAAATGCATCTTTCTTTTCGCTTTCACTCAGAGGAATGGTGTCAGGAGCATTTTCATACGTTGCAATTTTCTCATCAAACAAATCATTAAACTCGCCAGCTGTCATTTTGGTTGGATTGTATCTCATATTATACAGGTCTTGTCTCACCGAGTGTGAAGTTACATTAAACTCGGCCATTTTTAATTCTTTTAATTTTTTCAATATTTCTTTTGGATCTTGTAGTTTGACGATTTTAGGGTGATAACTTCTATCCAAATGGTTTATCAGAATTTCTCTAACTTTATGCTTCTGTTCTGCAAGAGTTTCCTCATCCACAGTAACCAGAATGCTATCGTCAATGATGTGTAAGAGTTTATTCGTTTTGATTTCTGACGAAAAATAATCATAGAAATGTTCATACTTCATTTTGCTGTCCATTTTATAATCTCTTTTAAAGCTCATTCCTTTGTTAAGCAATTCTATTTGTAATTTATTTGTTACCTCGCTAGTTAATTGTTTCAACGGATTTTGATTGTTTCCTTGACTTGACTTTGTCTGATTAATTTCATTAATCTGCTTATTGACTATTGAACTAATTTGATTTTCTAGATTCGTATGCTCATTTGACGCCACTCCTCCGTCTAATTTTTTCTTGTTTGTTGTTACCTTAATTGATGATTCGACATTAGTGCGATATTCATTGAAAGTTCTTTTTACTTCTTCTATTTTATCGTTGTGCTTTTTGTCCAGGGCACTCAACAGCTCCTGTACTTCCTTTTTATCTTTTGCTCTCACCTCAGCATTTAGTCTTAACTTGGTTTCTGTTCTCTGTTAGACCTTTATACAGTGCTTTTGTTGAAGCTATATTTGAGCTACAATAGCTTTTCCACCATGCTCTTCAACTCAGCCCACTGTGTGTCTACAGAGACTGTTTTAACAGTCTTGTTGCCGTTAGGCTCAACTGATTCATCGTCTAGATTAGAATTTACTAATTTCAATTTAATATTTACTTTATTATCTGCTGTAATCTTGGGTTTCAGTTTGATTTGGTCAGTTTTGTCAACATTAATATTACCTGTCATTTTCTCGCTTGTTTTCTCGCCTGCCCTTATTTCGCCGCCATTTAACTCGCCTCCAGTCAATTCGCTTGACCTGGACTCGCCTGTGGCCCTCGCCTCCGTGTTTCCCAAGTTTTTGTTCATGTTACTTGACCTATACTCGATTACAGCTGTTGTTAACATTGGACTCTTCGGACCGTAACCTGGTAGATACATTGGCTTATTTTCGGCCAACAATGCAGCTTCTAATACAGTTAGACATCTCCATTGATCCCCTGTGAATTTTCTTTTATCTAATTTTAAAGAGACCGAAAAATTGAGGATTATTGTATCTGGTTACAGTTTTTGTATTCAGGTCCGAAATCCCAAACTCGACTTGCTAAACATAAACAAACCGAATTCAGAATGAATGTGCTCTTCAGAAAATCTAAACATAAGACCTCCTCCAAACACATTCAAGTCTTTTATGATTGCGAGAGATTGATTTAAATTTCTCAAGCAATTTGACGTCTTAATATTGCGCGTTTCTAATGTGTATAGTATGCTCGCCTATTTACACGTATGCCTGATGTCTCGCCTGTTACATATCCAGTTCCTTCATCTGGAAGTACATGTACTTTATCGTCTATTATTGCCAGGGAGACTACTTCTCCCTCATGGTTTCCTTCGATTAGATGTTGTCTAATTAGGAGTCTGCACACTTCATACAGAAGTTCTTTATCAGCTGTAATTATTTATGTATAAATATCTTCGTCTAAAGATAGCAATTTTAAAATTCAATTTCATTGATTCGACCCATCAAATATTTAATTTGTTATTCTCGCCTATTAAATATTTCTAAATTCAATATTCTCACCAATTAAATATTTTGATTTGGATGCATCCTTAATTTGTAAATTTCAATTTTGCACTAGTGTCTATTGATTTATTGCTTTATTGCTTTACATTACGCTGATGGACCCCGCACACACGCGGAACGCGGCCGAGAAAGAGAGAATCGTTGTTTTTCACACCAATTTTTATATTCACACTAATTTTCGTTTTTCTTTCTATTTCTTTTTGTTCTCGCCTTGCTCGAGCAATGTGTGTGGGACTGCAGTTGTCCCTCTCTCTCAGACGCGCCCCGGTTGCGCGCGTAACTCACCCGTTGCGTCTACTTGTTGAAGCCTGTTGAAGCCTGTGCTTGCCTTCCCCGCCGAGAAACTATTGTCTCGGCGTCACTTGGCTTTCTTCTTTTGTTTTTCTTTAAATATGATTTTATTTATGACAAAAGGAATTTTATGCTTTTCAGTGATTTTTGTGAATTTAATGGGATTTCTTTATTAATTCTTTTTAATCTAAAATTCTCAATTTCAGGTCGGCGTCGTGGACAATTGATTTCCAGCCGTCATTTTGATCCCTTCTATTTTTTCGTTCTCACCAATTCACTTCACTTAATTAATGCATTTTTCAGTACTTACTTTTTCTCTGAGTACTTTTCATTTTTTCTTCCCGTCAGCTGTCACTCACCCAGCCCGTCTCGATTTTTCCTCTTTCTGGATATTGCTTTGTATCGCGTGATCCACCCGGACACGTGCCCGGCCGCCCGATAGCGTCCTTTTTGGATTTTCCGATTTATCGCTTCCAATCCTTTTATTTATGATAAATTTTAATCACGTACAGTTGAAGTGTGCCCACAACCTGAAGGGTTATTTAGGATTGAAATAACGATTAAACACAGTTTTATTATCGTAAAAGTAATTAAGCTTTATTCAGACACGTAATGCGACAACGGTCGCGGCACAAGTGATGCATAGTACGAGTATATCTACGAGAGGCGCAACGGCGCCGTGGCGACACAGTCGCCGCCACAGTCGGTAAAGAGGGAGACTGGCGTAGGGCGCTATATTTCAACAAATACATTCAACAGTTTTTTTATAAAAGAAGAAGAAGAAGAAGAAAAAGCAAACAGTACAATTGATGAATTGGAACAACAGTTAAGTCAGGTTAGTGATTTTGTCCTTGTGAAACAAAGGGTAACGGTGGATTTCTTATTTTATTCCACATTGCATCACTTCTGATAATTGAAAATAATGGTTAAATAAAATATTTAGCACAGTATCACGGCTATTGATTCAGCTAACGAGGAATCAGAAGACAGAAGAGGAGAAAGCGAACAAACTTAGGTGAATAACCTTTTTTCCTGATTTTCTTGGTTATTTCAATATTTTTGTTACGCACATACGTAATTTTCCAAGGTTCTCAGGCTGAACCTAGTACAGCTGGACAGGCTAAGCCTAGTACAGCTAAACAGACTAAGCCTAGTACGTCTGAACAGGCTGGACCAAGTACTGCTGTTGATGCTGAATCACCTGTACCTGATAATCCTACACTCGATTTTCTTGGAGATGATGTTTCTACACTTCCTACCTCTGTAACTGAGTCTCCAACAGTAGATACTGCTAATAAAGCTACGAGAAAGAGAAAATCATCGAAGCCATTGGTGAACATCGAGAAAATAACTGAGAAAAGACTTCGTTTTAATGAGACATTAGCAGCAATCATAACTTTGGAAAATTCCATTTATTTTACTATTTCTTTTTTTTGAGGATTGGTGAAGTGGTAAAACGTCGAAGTTCGTTTTTTTTCTCATTCTGGGGAGTTACAAATATTATGATTTTGAAAATAAGTGGTTTTATGAGACAATGTGAGGAATTCCAGCGGTTCGAAACAATGTCTCTTGACATTCTAGTCGCGAATAATTTTTGAGAAAAATAAACAATCTCATTCATAATTTTCTTTCGTACGTGGGTTAAAAATGTGATCATCTCGATGATGAGGATTTGAAAAACGAAGCTCAAAAGAAAGTTTATTCACCGAGATAAAGGTCGTATTTCATTTTCCCCCCTGAATCGATTTTTTTCAGAGGAGAGCTTGATTCATGATGCTTTATCATTGCACAATTTAAATATTGAAAGAGTTATTATTAATTTTGAATCATTTTTAGGATCTCCGTCAATTTCTGGATGGTTGTCTAGATGGGAGGGGTATTTTGAGTGCATACAAAGAGGATGGATATCTGGGTGATGACGACGTTTAATTACTTGCAGAGATTCTGGCCAAGTGGCTACTGTACCTGACTGTCTAGTAAGTTAATTCAACGGATTGTGGTATTTTCATTACTCCTTGGTCCTCTCATTTACTGCCAGTGTTGTTCATTTATGTACAATCATTGATGTCTCATCCCTGATTCAATTTCTTCGCATAATTTTGTCACTCGTTAATTTATCTTATTTTTTTTTACTTTTTCTATTCATTCACGATTTTCATGTCCATTCACGTTCATCTCTTACACCCATCCACGGTCAACAGTCCTACACCATACGAATACAAATCCATCTCCGATAAAATTCTAGCGGTGTTCCCAGGAGTCGTAAGTTTAACCTTCTCCAATCTTTCTTTCCCTTCACTTCCAATGACACGAAAGCTATAATAAATTATTTGCTTTTCCAAATATTCTAAAAAATATTGATCCTTCTTTCAGAATATTTGGTACCACGAGGCCCAGACGAAGGGCCGAACGCACACAGCACCCTATGGTAAACTCTTCAACAAAGTTAAAAACGTTCGAGACTGGATGAGAAAGAAATACCTTTTATCCACCAAAAAGGACTCAGATGACGAAGATGAAGAAGACACGTATGAGGTTGACATGCTGTATATACTGATGGGTAATTTCTACAATTTTATTGATAGTTTCATTTTTTATTCATGAGTGATCATTTTGATTATTGATATTGTACAAAAATTTTCACAGCCAAAGCTCTTGAGGATGAATCTCTCAAAAAGACTCTAGACTTTTTGGTAAACAATCTAGAGCCTTGGGCTTTGATCGTTAGATATTGGAAACAGTCAAGAGAATTTCGTCTCAAATACGAAGCAAACTCATCTCCATCTTTGACAATTGCAGAGTACACAAATAAATACAAGGCCATCCGCTTGGCGAAAGGATATGAATTGGTGACTATAATTTATTAATTTTCAATTTTTATTTCATGATAAATCGATGAAATGGGATAGAACAACTTCACTGAGAGTTCAGTTACTGAACTCAGTTCAGTTTTTACTGAATACCTCGAAGTGAAAAGGGACTAGTGAATTTTTTGTGAATAACTTTTTTTTTTCGGAGATATTTATCTAAAAATTAATTTCAATTGATTCACCTGGTTCCATCCTGCACTAGTGTGTATCCTACAAAGAGCTCCATTATATTGTGATTTTTACACTCAATTAATTTCAGGTTTCGCTCGATTTTATCCATTTACATGAGGACAAAAGTGACTCGATGGACGTGAATTGGCCTCTTTTCGAAGAAAGGATTACTAAGTACATAAATAAACATAAGAAGAGAATAACTGATAGCATTGACAAAGAATTGGTGAAGGAATTGCTATGCAAACACAAGAAACTTCAAGAGGATGGAAAGAGAGTGCTAATATTGCAGTTGTTGGCGTCACTTTTCCCAGCAAAAGGAAAGGTCCAAATTGGAAATAAGTCTAGAAAGCCATCGATTGAGTTAAGTCGTAATTCCCTCATCTACCACAGCACGGTATGTTCAATTAATGTCTATGATTCCTTAAAGATTATAATTTTTTAATTGAAGTTACATTTCATAGAAAAAATCAAATCCCTAATAGAATACTTTTTTTATGTCCAAAAATTCTGAGTGAAAAATGTTGATTGAA